CAAACCCTCTTTCTTTTACCCTAATTAGTACATAATTAAGAATAAAAGATGACAATAATAACCCACTAATTAACTTAAGGTTACCTCTTTTAACCCCCAAGTAATTAGACTTATTAACATTAACCCTCTAACTTTATAATTAAAGTACAAATAGTCCAAAACGTCCCTTAAAACGTGTAAAGAAATCCGACCCAGACTGGGATTTCGCAGTCTATGACGGCCCGTCGCGCCTGCGACGGTCCGTCCTGCTGCCCGTCACAGAGTTCAGAGACTCAATTTTTCTGAAGAGTCTGTGATGGTCCGTCATACCTGTGACAGTCCGTCCTGCCATTCCGTCACGAAGTTCAGAGAGTCGATTTTCAGTACCCAATTTCAGATTTTCTAAGTGTTTTGAAACGAGACCCTGCGACGGTCCGTCGTGCCCATGACGGTCCGTCGTGGGGTTCGTCGCCTCAGCCTATTTTTCCAAAAATAAAATCCGCTGCTCAAAACGACTAAACAGGTCGTTACAATATTGTAGAAGAAATAATCACCTATCAATGTAATCAAGAACTTGAAAGAAGAATGTGCATGTAGACAGGATAGTCTTTGATTATCTGCAGGGGTTTGGCATCAGGTTTCCTAACCTACCTAAGACACAGAGATTAAGCAACGCGCAACAATGAAACTCAACTTAAACTCCACAAAATCATACAACTAATAGAAATAACTGAGGAGATAACAAAACTTTAAGAATTATTTAGCCAAATAAATTGATATTGGGACCGACTATATTACCAAAATGAATTTTGGCTAGTTAACAATTCTCGTGATCAAATGAGGATTGTGGAAGTAAAAATGCCTTCAAAATTAGTTTTTGGAATTCATCAATGTTGTAGCTCATTCAACGACCCTTCTGAAAGTACTCCAGTTGAATTTTTTTAGTATTGAGAATAAGCTAAGAAGGAATACAAAGAATTTAAGGCAACAAAATTACTGATCTCAATAGAAAATTAGTGATTGAAAATGACAAGCTCAACTAATAAAAAACTACCAAGATGAATATCTAACATGAGATTTGTCTTCTATACATATGTAGGAAGCATAAAAAAATAAAAGACAAATATACCGGCTCAAAATGTTCAGAATCATAACAATAGTATGGCAAGCATTCTCCCATGTTCTTCTTCAGAAGGAAGATGTCTGAAAGATAATAAAAAGCAGAGGATCATTTCTCCACACATCATCTATTTTCACCTTTTACTCATTTTAATTTGAAGTACAAACATCATATGAAAGAGTTACTTTCAATTGTTTTTGTAGGCAAAGGAGAAACATATTAAGATGGCATAAGAGAAGATCAAGAAATATATGAAGTCGGAACTCTAAAATAAATATCTTTAATCACGACGGAAAAATTAAAATATATTATAATTTATATTCTTTCCCAATGGATTGGTGTGTATTAATCTTTTCTCTTTCAATCCTACAATATATTATTTTTGCAATGCACAAACACATATGTAATAAATCTTTGAAAAAATATAAGTAAAGAACATTTATGAACTCAATCACAAGTTGCACTGTACTAATTGATGATAGTTAAATCATTTCAACAGACATTTAGGCTATATCAATTCTACTTTGTGCAGGTGAAGATGGGATTTTCAATCGATCCAAAGCAAATTAAACATTGAAGTTAATATTTATAATACTTGTGATACGGCAAAAGAGTATGGGATCGCCTGTTATGGCTTCAAGTATAAATTAAAGGGTAATCTGCCATTTGAATTGCTCGACCAAGAGATGCATCCAATTTTTCGTACACTATTGATTTTCTCAGAGAAAAAAGAAAATCAACATTATAGCCTCAGAATTTTCACACCAATTATTATTAGTAAATACTACTAATGAGATTGATTCTCTGTTTTGGTTTGAGAATTTTTTGAGAAAGTAAGCTAAGATTAAGGGACGGTTTGGTAGTTGAAGAACTTAAAATATCAATAGAATTTATATTTATCACAACAAGAATTGTAATCACGGGCATTGCAGAGAGAGGAGCAACATATCTTTGAAGTTTTCCCCGTTACTCTCTACAATCCTCATTATTTGGCTCTGAATCTAAGATAAGTCTTTTTCCTTTAATGGAAAGATTCTCATGTGTTTATCAACCTATGAATTCAACAACTGTAATGTTCAAAGAAATTTATAGTAGCAAATGAAACATTGAGGCTCAGATCTGTAATACTCACAACTCGGCAAGAGTGACTGGATTCACCTCAATGGTTGCAAGCACCAATTGCAGGGTCACTTTTCCTCCAAGTTAACAAACCAAGATACTTGTCAAATCTCTCCTCCAATATCAATTTGGTGAGAGAAAGAAGAAAATCGCCATAATAGCACTGAAATTTTGGCAACAATTATTACTAGTAGTACTATTACTGATGTTCCGCACTTTAGGATTGAAAGTTCTATAGAATAATCAAAGATTAAGAGATCTCTCTTAAGATGTTTAAATAGGAAAGGGGATATCAAATTTTTGTTTATTTTTCATATAATAAAGAAGGAATTACAGACATTAAAGAGAGGAAGCAACAATAGCCCCCTTTTCCAACTTTCTCCTCCACTTTCGGATAATTTTCGTTCTTTCAGCTTTGATTTGTGTTGTGTGATGAAGAGGAAAAACAATATCCTGACTATTCTAGTTCTAGTGGAAAGGTGTGGAAGTTGTAGGGATTTTTTCTTTCTGGAGGAAGATAAAACTTGACTTGAAAGTGATGGACTACGTGTCCATTTGGTTTTAGGATAAAAGACACGTCTTACTAAATGCTTGAAAAGTCAAATATATCCTCAAATTGAAATTTATTGACATTAAGTTGCCATTTTGAATAAGCTCTTTCTATAATAGTAGAAATATATATATATATATATATATATATATATATATATATATATATATAAAGTATTTGTTCCCTAATTATTTGCTCTTTATACATGTACAATAAATATATTTTTAAGTAATTATCTTTATGTAAATATTTCTTTAACGTATTAATTTAGATAAAATTTATGAAGGAATTTATTTGAAAACTAATACGCAAATAGATACTAGTTGAATAATTATAAACAAATATCAATGATTCATAAATAGTTAAAAGTGATTGAATTTTCTTTTAAGTGTGATTAAAAATAGGCCAAGAAAAATATAAACTTCATCATTTATTTCGATATAATATAGTGTTGGGGTTTTTTTTGTTTTAAACAGTTATTTTTTTGAAAAAACATCGCTTACCTATATTTTAGGAACTATTACTCCATCCATAGCACAAAATTACTCTCTCCGTCCACAATTATTTGGTAGGTATACTAAAAATAGATGTCAAAAATTAATTATCAATTCAAATAATCAAGAAACAATAAATCATTTTTTCCCAAATTCGCCCTTAATGAAAATGTATTCTAATTAAAAAGTTAGGTAGACTTTTGATATTCTTGATAGAATTATATTAGTCAAACTACACATTGTATTAAATTTTCTTAAGGGTGTGCATGACCTTAACATGACAAATAATTATGGACGGAGGAAGTAAAACACAAAAATATTTACATAATTGTAAGGCAATCCCACTATTTGTAAAATATTGGAACGTCATTACACCTCTTTTATTATTTTTGGTATAAATATAATTTTATAGTTTAATATTATATTTAATCAGTTCCCAATTGGTTGGCTTCAGGTAAAATAAATTTGAATAAGTTTTTGTTTTACTGATGATTCACAATCATTGTTATTTTTTTTATTTCCTAATTTTTTTAATTTCATATTAATAAAAATTTGGTATTTCAAGGTTTTTTTTTTTCATAATTCATGTTTTTTAAATGTAAGATAAACACGAATAAAATAAAAAGTTATCTGCATGGATTTTTATTGATTATAGGTTTGTGTAGTAATAGAAAGGTATGTGAACTGTTACAAAAGTGTTTTTTCTTTTCTTTTAACATATTCATTTATAGAAAGTAATGGAGCAAATATTTAAGTAGAGTCACAACAAAATAATTTATGTCAATTCAAATTTGAAAAGAAGATTTACTGTGCATGTGGTGCAGTTTTTTTTTTTCCATTATTTTTAATAATTCTAAATTCCGTTTTGGAGCATTTTCTAAAATTTTAAAAATTAGCTTAAATTAATAGGAATTAATATATTATTATTATTTAAATTATATTATTAGTAGTAGAAATTAAAAAAATAACTTTTTAGAAAAAATGAAAGACAAATTATATCAACTATTACATGTAGTCCTAGGGTATGTAGTTTAAAAAGGTTTATAAAGAATAGGGTTTGTAGTCCTAGGCTGTATAGTTCCCTTTTTTGTTGGAAGTTATCATATTTTATTTTTTAATTATTTAAAATTATTTTATAGAATTATTTGAATTTCGAATTGAGAATATGAACGGTAAATAACTGTTTATTTATCTTACCCTTCTTCAAACTAATCATATATTTAATTATTCAATTCAACTTCGTTGTTATCCAAATATAGCTAGTATAAATTTGAATGACATATTAGTTAGTTTCTACAATAATTATTTGATTTGAATTTTAAAATATCCTACTTTTAAATATATTTAAAAATATAAATGCAAATTGTTAAATAATAATAATTATTATAAATGTTTATTTCTTAAAGTTCAATATTAAAATTCCCCCTAAAACTTGATAGTCTTTATTGTTATAAAAATATATGTATCAGAGTGAATGTCTAATTGTGTAGAGTCCTTATAGGATATGGTCACGAATACTTGGGGACCAAGTAAGTAAATTTTCTTGTACTACTTGTTGGAAAGACAAGCTAATTGTGAGACCATCATAAACAAAATTTGAGATTGAATTCTCTGCGTTCTGGGAACGTATACAGATATTTGTGGAACTAGTCATCCACCTAGTGGATTGTTTAGATATTGAATGGTCCTAATAAATGTTTCTACTATATATATGTCTCATGTGTACCTGTTATTATCTCGCAACTTGATGTTTGCAAAAATGTTGGCACAAATAATATATTTATATGCACAATTTTCTTCAGATTAGTTCATTCAATGATGGGATCACGACTCTCCTAGAGGGGGAAGTATTTGAAAAGAAATAAATATGGAAATTACTCTTGGATTAGTAAAATTGGAATTTACTCATATAATAGTAAATGAGAAATTTATTAAAGCAAAAGACATATGACGTAGTAAACTTGAAATTTACGAGTACTAATAATTTTATTAGTTGGCATGAATAATTTTGTTATCCCAAAAATGTACATATTGAGTAATGAACATACATTGAAAAAGTAGAAGATTCTTCAAGAATTCTTTATGTTGCTTGTTCTCGTGATAAAGTTGATTGGATCAACTAAAGTTGAGACTAAATCCCTAAATTCTGAAAAGTATAAAAGGTGAAAATGAACCCGTTCTCCTATCATATGATATGATAAAAAGATGTCTTAATAAGATAATCACATGTGCGTTTGTTGTCAACTTACAGTTTGACATTCACAAAATTGTTTGTCCAAAAATAATAGATTTAAGAGCACAATTTAAGAATATGTAGTTGAGACAATTTATTTTGATAATATTGATAAATACTCAAGATGATTTGACACTAAATGTCTCAAATAGTAAAATCATTGTTTATGAAAATAAAACTTCAAATGTTGATATGATATACGATATTGCATACAAAAGTAATTGTACACATTAGACCGATAAATTATGATCAAATTTTCTTTCAATTGATTTATTTATGGTCGGAGACCAAATATTTTTCATCTGATTATTTTGATATATGGTATATAATCAATGAATTTACATTGATGCACAAGGATAGATTCTCCAAAGATTGAGATATATGTTAGTTTGTTCAATATAAAGGGGAGATTACAAGCAACACAAGTGTTGTAAATACTCTTATTGAATGTTTCTTAAGGATAGAGTCTACGACATGCATAAAGCATGATATATTAATCAATTCTAAATAAAATAATCCTTGAAAAAGGGGAGGATCAAAGAATCTAAATGACCATAATAAGGAGACAATGTGTTGGTGATGAGCCTACGACATAACATTTTATAAAATCTGATGAGAGGGATAGCTACCTAAAAATAATAAAGTGATGAGGTCTTAACAAGTTATGTAGTATTGGAAATCAAACATAACGATATATCATTAAAGATATCTTTGATACGATACACAGTATGGTAAAAGATTATGAGGATATAAATTCTACATCTATTAAAATATGCTGAAGTAGAAACAATTATCAAGTGAAAAGTGAAATGATGCACCTTGGTAAGCGTAAAACTTATTTGACTTGCAATCTAGGCCCTAGAAGATGTCATACATCTAATATTGAATGTTGTTACTTGACAAAATTGATATGAAAATATATCAATGGGTTCAAAATCTAAAGCATATACAAGTTTTTGGAAAACTTGTTTATCATTCTTATAAGGATTAAATAGATTCAAAATGTCTAGAGCATATACAAGTGTTATTCTGCAAGTTGATAGCTAGAATTGAAACTCTTGGCAATAGATTATTTACTAAAAGAAGTTGAAGTAAGGAACTTGTAGAAATCTTTGACCCAGACGGGAAGATATATAAAAGCAAATAGAAGAAAGCATATTTCATCCAGGTTTTTCGACACTCATAAGCTCCCAAGAATGGTGATATCGACATGCAATAGGTCTATTCAAGTAATATTATTGTTGATTTATTCATCAAGTCTCTACCAACTACAAGTTTTAAGAAGATGGTGAACAAGCTTGGAAAACGAAGATTCTAGTCTCCAAATTGATGTTGTGATTAGGGGGAGTTAATACGTGATGTACTCTTTTTCCCTCACAAGGTTTTGTCCCATTTAGCTTTCCTTGTAAGGTTTATAATGAGGTATCCATAATGCGTATTATTATATATGTGTACTCTTTTTCCTCACTAGATCTTTTTTCCCATTGAGTTTTTACCTAGTAAGGTTTTAACGAGGCACATAATTTACCGACATTCAAGTGGGAGTGTTATAAACAATTTGTATTATACTTAATGTCTAATTATGTGGAGTCCTTTTAGGATATGGTTAGGAATCCTACATGGGAACAATGTTAAGTTTGCCCTATAAATAAAGGATTTTCCTTCATTGTAAAGAAGATCAATGAATCATGAATATACTTCTAGATGAATAAGAAATTTTTTATACTTTTCTCTACTTTATTCATCTTCTAATTTCATATAATTTCATAACAGTATGAAAATATGTTGTCCATAATTACATTTATCATCATATTTTTTTATAAAACAAACACAATACATCAAAATGTAAATATTTTGATTTGTGCATTTTGAAGTCAAAATTGCTGAATTAAGATATTATTATTTTGATTGCTCAGTAAAAAGGAAATAAACAATTACTATAATTGCATGATAATAATAATAATTTTTATTCATTGAAAATCAATTAATTGAAAAAGAAATAATCTTACATATGATTAAACTCTCTCGCTTTGTTGATTATTTATTGTGTTTGAATGCATGTTCACTGGCCGGTTGATTTGTTCTCCTTTATTAAATACTAAAATATTGTATTGTTGTTTTGTTGAAGAAGAGAAATAATTTGATTTGATATGATTAAAGGAGAATATAATTTTGTTGTTATTTATATATTAGATTTTAGATTTTAAATTTAAGATTTTAAATTTTATGTAAAAATATTAGAGATA